CCCCCCCCCCCCCCTTTACTGAGCTGGTCACATGACTGGTTTCATCCTATGAGCCATATATCGCCCCGGAAATTGTGATCCTGAACGCTCATATGTCTTGTGTGTGTAATATGTTGTCTTGGATAAGATCGGTGTGATGTGTTTGTGATCCAGCGATCGGGCTCTGCGCACACAAAGGGGGTTATTTATAAACACATTCTTCATAGATATTCGTCCAGCGAAACTGCATTTATATTCATTCTGTGTGAATTCAGCAGATGGTGTGATAATGAGTTTGAATTGAATGTTCTCAGGCTATCTTCTTTTCTGGTCCCTGGACCCCCATAGTAGCAATGGTTACAGTTATGTGCGAATTCCCTCCAGCTTTCTGTGAATTGTTACATTGTATCTCTTGTGACTACAAAGTATTTATTTCTTATGATCTTCGGCTCCATCTAGTGGCCATAATGGGGTATTTTCCCGATTCACTACTGCCCACAATATTCAGGAGATACAATAGCCCAAGAACATTCCATGTGGCCCCATTCTCACACACAACTAATGTACATTCAGTTTCACAGGACAAATAACTGCAACGTTTTATTATTAATAGACCCCAAAGTGTCTCGTCCTGGATGTCACCCTCCCAAAAATATTTCTGTAATAGAAAACAGTTGAGATTATTTGCCTACACGGCTAGGAATCAGATCTATTTGTGTTTGACCAATGCCGGCACACAGATTGAAAACTGCTCTGCATGGCGAAGGTTACATTCTGATTGGTCGGTTTAGGGTACACACAGTTCTTATTGTGTGATATATAAGAGCTCCAACGTGAGTAGCACGGCTTCAAAATCTCTGTATACTGCAGTCTGAGAAGAGAGCACCACGTCAGCAATTGTAGAGCCCAAAATTGTTTATTACATCATAAGTGGAATAAAGCAGCCAACACATTTCATGGGTTTGGACAATACCCCTTCATCAGGGCTTGAGGTGCCGTATGGGAAAGATGGCGGACTGCGGGGAACTTTCCTCTTATGTTGGCTTCAGAAGCTGGTTATGAGTGATAGGCTGGAGGAAGATCGATCCTTTTTGGTGGTTATAATGATCCAACGCATGTGCATGCAGACAGATACAGAGAACCTGTGAGGGTATAAACATCGGGGGGTTGAGTTTCCAGGCTGTCATCCCGATCCTCACTTCACTACCTGCAGCCTGTAACGTCTTACGTCCTCTATTCTTGTTCCTTCCTCGGGATATACTTCACTTAGGTTCTTTTTTGTTTCTTTCAGAAAAGACCAAAACCAAAGATTCCAATTCTTCGTTTTACAGAAGCCAAACCGCCGTTCCTGATCTGCGTCAAACTGGTGAGTGTGGAGGCCTGAAGAGGGCTGTGTACCCCATTATTCAGTGTAAAGGGGTTCTGTGAGGAGACCAGGGCAGGAGGTGACCATGTACCCCATCGCTCTGTATATGGGGGTTCTGTGAGACCAGGGCAGGAGGTGGCTTTGTACCCCATCACTCTGTATACGGGGGCTCTGTGAGGAGACCAGGGCAGAAGGTGACCGTGTACCCCATCGCTCTGTATACGGGGGCTCTGTGAGGAGACCAGGGCAGGAGGTGGCTTTGTACCCCATCGCTCTGTATATGGGGGTTCTGTGAGGAGACTAGGGCAGGAGGCTCTGTGAGGAGACCAGGGCAGGAGGTGGCGTTGCACCCCATCGCTCTGTATATGGGGGTTCTGTGAGGAGACCAGGGCAGGAGGTGGCGTTGTACCCCATCGCTCTGTATATGGGGGCTCTGTGAGGAGACCAGGGCAGGAAGTGGCGTTGTACCCCATCGCTCTGTATATGGGGGCTCTGTGAGGAGACCAGGGCAGGAGGTGGCGTTGCACCCCATCGTTCTGTATATGGGGGCTCTGTGAGGAGACCAGGGCAGGAAGTGGTGTTGCACCCCATCGCTCTGTACATGGGGGTTCTGTGAGACCAGGGCAGGAGGTGGCGTTGCACCCCATCGCTCTGTACATGGGGGTTCTGTGAGGAGACCAGGGCAGGAGGTGGCGTTGCACCCCATCGCTCTGTATATGGGGGTTCTGTGAGGAGACCAGGGCAGGAGGTGGCGTTGTACCCCATCGCTCTGTATATGGGGGGGGGTTCCATCATGTTTTTCTTCAGCGTTGAAGGGATTTTACTGAAGTCGATCGCTGAGGAAATATTATTCATGGAGACACGAGAGCAGCGGCCGTGCTGGCTTTCATAACGCAGATGGATGTGGCCGGGCCGCCCGCTGCTTTCATAGAGTAAAAATTATTTGTAAAGTGGAAATTGTATTTTCTCTTCTGAAGGAGATTCGGCAGAACAAAGAGCTCGCGGCTGGGGACTTGTTTGGAGTTAAAGATCTCCGACTCAGAAAGCTTTCATACAAGCCACATTAAAAGGGGGCTCTGCCCTGAGTGTCAGACCTCTCCACAATGGCGGAGATGTATATTTAGAATGATATTTGGTGTTGTTGCCCACATCTGACACACTGTGGAAGGCCGGCTCTGCTCTTTCATGTGGAGAGAGAGAAGTGTAATTAGGGAGGAATGTCAGATAGGAGAGCCGGGCCACCGCCGCCGCGCACACGCTTCTGTCATGTGGTCACATTGAAGTAGCAGCTTCTAAACACTTTATTGGTTTTTGTGTCTGATCAGAAACACGTGCGGGGAGGGGGGAAGCGGCTGGGTGAACCTGTATTGTATATGTTATTACATATTTCTGGACTCCCAAATCTTGTTCCTGGTAATATATCGGGTCGTCTTTGTTCTTTGGAACACGTTTGATCATATTTGTTAAAAAAACTGCCTAAAAATTGGTGTGTGTGTGTCCGGCTTAGGGGACACGGAGCAACGGCGTGCAATCGGCCAATAATTGTATTTCATGATTCGGGGGTGAAATGAATAAAACTTCTCATCTTACTGAATAAGCACAACTGAGATTTTGTATTTAACCCATAAGGCCCCTTTCACACCTCAGCTGAACACCTTTGGGTTTTTCCAGCCAAGAGAACGCGCGTTTCCATTAAACTGGGGCCGCAACGATTGACTGCGCCCCAAGAGATGTTCTTTTTCCAGCTACAAGTGACAGAACGCTCAGCTGTGAACGGGGGATTCCTCCTGCTGAGTGTCGTAGTGCTTAAAGGAGAACTATGGGGTAAGTGCGTTGCCCCATAGTTCTCCTCAGGGTCATGGGAGGACATAAGCTAGCGTCCTCCCGTGCCCCAAAGCTCAGTATACCGCCAGCTACAGCTCGCGGTATACCGAGACCGCCGCAGCCGGGACGGATCCCAACATTACTGTTGAGATCCACCCAGCTGCGTGATTGACAGCTGGCTCTGCCTATCTAGAGGCAGAGCCAGCTGTACCCGCCCCCTCCCCAGTCCGTCCCGCCAGTTAGCGCTGGAGGATCGCCGCAGGGAGCCGTGAGTGACAGTCACGGCTCTGTGTAGGGACAGGATTGAGAAGTAAGCGGGCGACGGTATGTGTTCGCTCACTACCCGATCTATAGAGCCGACCTGTGAAAGTTTAATTGTGATTTTTCACTCGCCTCATTCTTTCTCCTTTTGAAGGGTAACCCCATCCAGCGGGTAAGCCCGGCATTCCTGTCATTAGCAGTGACCCCTTTCATCAATGTTTCCCCCTAGATGCTGTAAACATGAGAAGAAAGGGATCCGGGGGATTGGGGAGCACAGTGGAGCGCTCACCTCTTTATGATGGAGGTATCAGAGCGGGGCCCCGGCTGCAGGTGTCTCTTGTCATCTCTTTATGGGTTGGGGGAAGGGCGGCCGCCTGACAAGGAAACACTTGTAAAACGTTTCTACAAGTTGTTAAAACAACACATGAGAGGAGCCGGGCAGCTCCCGTGTCAGTAGCCAGGACACATACAGACACACATCGTCATGTATGTGCTGACCTATAGAATGATCTGCTTGTCCCATTCCAGAGATGAGGTTGTCACTTGTCTGAGGGGGGTCACCTGGAGGGACCATAGACGTGTGACCGGAGAATTCCCTGACCACAGATCCGTCATACACCCGCCAGGTTATAGAGCAGAACAATTGGTATATTCAGGTGGTTTATACACGCATGTGGTGATCGGCTCTGTGTGTTCAGTGTCTGGTGATGATCTGATCGGTTCTCTGTACAATGCTGCGTGATCTATGACACATGACGAACTTCAACACACACACGTGTGTGTGTTGAAGTATAGCCATACATACACATGTACACTCAAGATTTTGACACCCACATTCATACATGCACAAAAACATACATACATACATACATACATACATACATACATCCCTAAATATGCAAACGCATGTCAACACATAAATACACATGCACAACACACACGCTCTAATGTTCATACATGCACACAAATATATACCCTATACATACAGATATATATATAAAAACATATACACACATAGGCCAGCAATGGAAAGGCCCCCTCCGTGTTTTGTTGCTGTGACTCGGCCTATGTTGGCGCTATCCGGGGGCGATGTACAGAAACAATTTCCCCCCCAATAGCAGCAACTTAACAAACACATCTGATTGGCTGCAGAGACACGATCCTCCTCTATACACAGGCTGGGCCTCAACTATCCATGTGTGTACAATGGCCATTGCAGAGTAAAAGATGGTTGGATCTGATTGGTGGCTGAGGAGCAGCACAGAGTCTCACCTGACACACATTGATAAATTGGATGTGTTGGTTAGTAGATCCCGAGTCCTTCACCTTATATGTGTCTTCTGCTCTCTTCCAGGATCTGACTGGAGGGGGATTGGAGGAGAACTTGCTCTCTCTGAACCTGAAGGAAGGCCGGGACTATTATCACTTCAACTGAGGACGGGGCGCAGGTACGGCACCGCATTTCACTAGGTTATCGTCTGGCATGGCGGACGCAGAACTAAACGGCACCACACACAAACACTTTGGCTGAAGCAGGATTCACACCTGTGCATTGTGGTAAAGCCGCCTGTTCATTCTAAATGTGCAACAACCCGCACCGCACTCCATATTGAGGCGTGCCGCAATGCAGGTTCACTGCTTCTGAGAGTTACCGCAATGCAAAAAGATGTGAAGCTGGACCAGCACCTCCCCTGATCTAAACTCTCTCACACACACACACACACACACACACACACACACACACACACCTGATCTAAACTGGGCCGACTGACACCTCCCCTGATCTAACCTGCGCCGATGTTGTACATTAACATCCCCCACCAGTTCTGAACTAAGACAGCCACTTCTCCTGACCTAAACAAACCCCTCCCCATCCCCACACACACACAAACTAGCTTATACTACATTCCCACCCAATCATCTGCCTCCCCTCCTGAACCAAACTATGCTAACATCCTTAATGAACCCACCTGAGCTAACAGCCCCCCCCTCACGTCTCGTGCATTGAGATCACAGACTGGTGCGGGGGTAAAGGAGGAGTTTGGTATACGTGTCTTATAAAGGATGATGCTCTGTACCCAAATTCTGACTTCTTCATGATAAATGTATGTTTGTGTTCTGTGAAGAAAGTCATGGCGATGGTGAGTCAGCCCTCCGCTCAGTAGGATCTAGCACTCATTCTACATGGTAAGAGGACCTGTCTCGACTTTCTTACCATGTGATGCAATGTTTGTCCTGGGGAAGTCGGGTACATCTGTGTGTACAGTAAGCAGAGGAGTATCCTGTGTGGGATAGAATATCATCGTCACCTCCTATTAGAAACTTTCTATTTATTCTGTAACAGGATGGGAAATGTTCTCACCGGGGCAGACATGGACATGCTGCGACATGGAACCTACTATAATGAGCAAACGCCACGGTCATGGAACACGCTACAAGACTCCGTGTCATGTAAAGTGATTTTAATTTTTTTTTGTAGCCATACAATTGTAATGAATAAATGTACATACAATGCTTTTTACACCATGCTTTTGTTTTGGGTTTAACATTTTTATCCTCTAATCTCTCTTTGACTTCTGAGATTGTAACGAGTCCATACCGAGCACAGTCGGGGTGACACCCAGCCATAAAGTCATGGAGCACATGGTGGCCATCTTGGTGATGGACACCGGCAGAGAGGACGTTCACCCAGTGGGATAGGCTATAACACCGGGTCCCCTCCTAAGCAACTGTCGGGCTCTCGCCCCATGACAGAGTCCCCAACTTTTCTGAGGGGGTGACACCAAATGACTGTCAGTCATTTGGGTGTCTCCCCTCCAATGGTGTCACCACTGCCGGTCTTCATACATCTGTATGAACGGATACAACAGGCAATGCAGCCTTTACTTCGGGGGGGGGGAAACATGACATTAGGTGGACAGGTCCCCCATTAGATTGGTGTATACCTGGGGTAGGTAACCTCAGCACTCCAACTGTGATGAAACATCAAATCCCAATCACCTCTGGAACTAATGCCTGTCAGTCTGGCAATGCCTCCTGGGACTTGTAGTTCAACAACAGCTGGAGTGCCGAGGTTGTCTACCCTGTACTAAGCTTGCCTTGCTGTGAATTGTGAAACGGATCTCAAGTGTCAGCGATACCTTTGTAAACAAGCTTTGTGTCTAGTCAGCAGATGTGGAGATAATAGAAGACACTCGGACGTGTGATGTACTGCAGGTAACTGTACAATAAACAAGATTTTATTTTATAACTGAACACAAAACAGGTCTGTCCCTAGAAACACATGCATACAGCGCCACCCGGTGACCAAACCTGCTATGGCAAGCTCCGTTCTCCAACCCCGTGTCTGGCTTTGTTCTGCAATCAGGACTGAGAGACCTGCGCGGAGAAAAGAAGATTCCGGTTTCAGAATGTCTGGGAGCAATAAATCAGAAAGAGAACCTGTCATGTATTGCTTCTAGAATATAGAGGTACACCGAAATGAAGATTTCAAAACCAAAAATGTTTTTTCTTTTTCTAATTTTTTAACATATTTTATTTGTAATAAACTTTTACAATTTTTTATATTTTTACTTTATTTTTAGGGGCTTCGGGGAAATATTGGGGGTCTAAACAGACCTCTGATACTTCCCTTTAAAATAGAAAAAGAGATTGAGGACACAAAGCCCACAGAGGCCTCAATCTCTTTTTCTGCATCCCCTGCTATCAATGAACAGGAATCCTCTATACTGAGTGTTCCTGATCATTTATAACAAGAGGACAGAGTATGTTTACTATAACCACAATCATGAATGAACAGGAAGTGATGTAGATGACTTCCCATTCATTCATAATTGAGGATATAGTAACCATACTCTGTCCTCAGTTATTGACAAACACTGACTGCTTGTACCGCTCTCCTTCCTGACAGCCGTGATATAGGAGGCTGAGAGGTGCGGGGAGGAGAGACGTCGGCCCCTCACAGCGCTCGGCCGCCTGTGACAGTTTCTCTCCTGCCTGCTGCCAGTTTCGGCGACGGATATCTTGGTGCATCCCTACTAGAAACCAATCGCCTCTTACTTTCTCACCTGTACGGAACTGGGAGAATCTGGTTGCAACATGCAGTCCTTGCACAGCATACAGAGTATTTACAGAATCTTGGAAGTTCTGCAGTAAAACATGACTTGGTCCCCTCCCCCCCCATTATACTCACCCTAACAGCACTCAGTCGCTGCTCCTTTCTCCTCTGCAGCCGACTATTCTCACTGGCTGCAAAGGCTGAAGGAGTGCTGGTAAGGTGTATAAGAGGGTCGGAGGTCCTATGCAGGGTCATTGTCTCTTGAAGTGGATAGAGCAGCGCCCATGTTGGTGTAGGGCCAGGGGTAAGCAAACTCCATCCCCTCCAGCTATGGTCCAACTACATCTCCCATGAGGCACTGCAAGACTGAGAGCTGTACACATGACTGCCAGCGGGTGCATGATGGGTTTTGTAGATTTACCACAGCTGGAGGGCTGGAACATGCCAGTATTGTCCTCTATGAAACCCAGCGATCAGGTGAGGGATCTGAGGGGTCACGTCCATACACATGCCGTGTTTACTGCATCACACTCCAATCCATCCGGACGCAGCGTCCCCCAGAGACCAGCTGACTCATTTCCACCAATCAGCAGCTTCGCCATCAACACTGCAGAGCAGCAACAAAGCTATACATTTTTTTTTAACACAAACACCGGAGAGACCCAATACAGCCAATCAACTGTTTACTATCTCTGCCCACTAGGCTCTGATTGGTTGTCTGCTCAGTACAGACATTTCCCCCTGCAGCAGTTTTGATGAACACAGCCCTGCTCTCAGGTCCGCTATGGATGGGGTGCGTCCCCCTGGACTCGGGCCTCAGAGAGGAGTGACTGGCTACATGGTGTGCGTGCCGTAATGGAGCACATTGATTGTACGGTACATAAAGCACACGTGTGACAGGCGGAGAGGACGCAGTGCTAACACGCCGCTGTGTGCTGCCGGCACGGTTCTGCCTGTTCCTGCTCAGATGTATCGGGTGACTGGGACTGTGGGGGCGAGTCTAATAAATTCCTTCCATTCCTTACAGATAAGAACACACATTCACTGACACAACATCTGGATTGGATTCACTAACTTATGGATATCATACAGGGAAACATGCACATTAACCCTCCGCATTCCTTCTCATCACAGGCCGGAGATTGACGAGGTCAAACGCCCCCCTGGGGGGACACACAATGTACCCCCCAAGCTGCAAACAGGAGATCTTATTCACTGATTGGAGGCAGGAAACTACCAATCAGAAATGTGCACTGCCCTGCAAAAAAGTATTTGATTGGCTGCATGATGTTATAAACACGAAACATTCATTCTGTGTGAGGAGCTGGGCCAGCACACCAATTTCATTACGTCCTTATGATGGCGGCTCAGTCCACATCACAATATGAGCGTGACAGAAGCACCGCCAGGGGCCTATCAGACCTGCACCCCTGCGGGGAAACTGCTGCACGGTGGCACCCTCCGGATTGGTGAGGCTTACCTTGGTGACGATGGTCGGCTTTGGCACGTTCATCAAGTCACAGAGGAGATTCCGCTTCTCTCTCACACTGGCCAGATCAGCGTCCCTGCGGGGAACCAGACGCGGCGTTAGTACTGTGCTGTACATAACAGGAAAATGCCCATCTGGGCCTCTCACTTCTAGACATACAGAGCAGGCTGTTACTGTAGATAAAGAGCCCCTCTCCCTCTGGAAGAGCCACTGACCCGACTGCATGGAGGATGTAGAGTCAGCGCACAGATTTATACTGACTGCCTAATGTCATAAAAACCTCGAAAAACACACGGTGGCGGCCCCTTCACTTCCTGACTTTTGAGACACAACAGGAAGTTACATCAACTCCCCCCATAGACAGTTGTCACCAGAACAGGTGTCCCCATAGGAAGACTTCCCCTCTGGTGACAACTGGACAATTGTGGATTTCTCATCGCTTTCTGTCCCAGACACATTCGTCACCAAGACCAACACAGATGGCGAATCTCCCTAGCGGGGACACTCTCGGCAATGAAGACCTGACAGGGGATCTAACCCTTCCACTCCCCATCCAGAACTAGGAAACTTTTTTGGCTTTACATACAATGTTCCAATGTCGTATTTTTCTATTGGAATGAATACCATGTATGAGAGCTGCGTGTGCTGACCCTCCTATGACATGTATGTTACGTGGACCAGTACAACACACATCCAGTGCGGGAAAGTCAGAGGTCCACATGTGTGCGCTTGCTCCGGGTCACGGATATAATTCAGAGGAGGGCAAACTACCTGGCTGGGTGATGGTATGTGCCGGCGCTATTGTCAGCCTCCCTGGCTGTTATTTCCATTCCCCGAGCCGCAGGCTTCAAAGGGCTTCTGGAATTCCAACACGTTTCTAATAACCTCCCCGAAATCCTTCAATCGCCCTTTCCAGAAGCGCTAAATTCCTCCGTGCGACGCTCTTATCCCAGGAAAATCTGAGGGATTACACCAGACCGCACGGTGCGAGATCACGCCAGAGGAACCTGAAACTACCGGGCCCATCCAGCGTCTGCACCCCACCCCCTGACTATGGACCAATGGGAACACTCGCAGATCACTCTCGAGGATCGCCAATATGGGGCCCATTTCCTGAGCACAGAACTGATTCTTATTGATTAGCTGCTAAAGGTTACCGCAGGTTGGACATCCTCCATGTGCCCCCCGGCCCTGTCCTTCCTGTATGCCAGAGAGTGATAAACATTGCACCAGTATAGACTCGGCGGACACACTTGAGGTTTCCAAGTCTCTATAACTAGTGGACGGCCCACTCAAAGTGTGTGCGTGTGGGGTGCGTGTGGGGGGAGATAATAGGACAGGAAGGTACAAACATTGTCTGTGTCTCCATTGCAAAGATTTCCCATTACTTCCTGTCAGGACAGGAAATGAGAAGAGATATCCCCCAATGGGGACACACAGGTGACCACAACATCCTGACAGAGGCTCCAACCCTTCCCTACTCTGTCTGGACTTCCACATGAGACATCTAGCTGCCTGCACAGAGACTGGAACATACAATACACAGCGAATGAATATCACATGATGTATAGCGGGGATCACACAGGTCCGGTCACTCACCAGGTGGTGTCACTCAGAACTTCCAGAATTTCATCCAGATTTTCGGGTTCCACAATGTCGTCATATGTGATGAACATTTCATACAACTCGCTGGCTGTGGATTTTCTCACCTGCAGAGGGAAGATAACAGCTCATTATATGGCAGGAAAACAGCCATCAGCACCGGTACATGGGACTGACACAAGGCCGTAACATGGAGAAAGGGAGGAACCACAGCACCCAGCGGGGGGACCAAGAATCTGACATGCCTGGAATAGTCCGATACCGGTGGCACATGGAGCTCTCCGAGAGAGTGAAGATTTAACTCTGTGCCTGCTGGAAAAGTATTAGAGAGAGAGGCAGAGAGAGAAAAAGGAGGAGGGGGGAGAGGAGAGTTCCTTCATGCAGAGACGGCGGTAATTACCGGGCTGGGCCGGCACACTCGGGTCACGCGTGGTTCAAAGACAACAATGGCTGAGCCGTGTAATGTGGGAGGGAGACTCGGAGCAGTCTATGGGATGGTGACAACCGTGTTGATGTTGGACGTACTTTGTACAACGCTGAGCAGCTTCAAGGCAACAGTGAGGGAGGACAAGGCTCAGCGCAGCCCCTCCCATAGGAAGCAGTAGCAGCGCTCATGTACAATCATACATACGTGTATTCCTGTGTGATTGCGGGCATAGATGTATGCTGTAACACTTACCACGGGGAAGGCGTAACACAGCAGGAGCAGCAGCTGGCCTAACACCTCCTTCCGGATCTCCCCAGGAAACTGGATCAGGCTGCAGAACCTACAACAGAGAGAGTGAAGAGGGGGGGAGACAGTGTGAGAGCCCTGCTGAAAACTGCCCACATCCACACAGCATTACCCAGGAATTCATATGGAAAACATAACCCTGAGCCAGTCTGTCCTAGTCTGTTTTAGTAACAATCTGACTGGAAGGTTCCACCACACAATAGGTTCTCCTGGTTGTGTGATCTGAGCAGAGAGATGAAGTGAAAGAGGCACCGGCAATATTCTCCACTGACACTGACTTTTTATAGACAGGTCCTCTTATTTTCCAAGAGAATTGGGAGGAGGAGATGGTTGGATAGATCCTGCAAAGGCTTCATATAACACAATACAAAAGCAGCAAGCCAACGCGTTTTGGGGGCTACAATTCCCTTCATCAGGGGCGAGAAAGGAGATCACATAAAAATAAATCTGTATTGTTCCAAATATAACCACACGGAGCACATGTGACCGTCTAGAAGTGGAGGATAATTGTCATGTTAGTATTATTAGGACGATTATCCCACACAAGCACCCCCCCAATAAAGGAACCGTATATCGCAGACTCACACAGCGATGCTGGAGCGCAGCTTTGGGATGTTCTTTGATTTTCTAATCTCCATTTTACACAATGACAGCAGCTCCCGGGCGAATTGGTGGCTGAGGAGAGACAATAATCAGGTCAGCAGAGGAAAAGTCATTATCATAAAGACCAGTCATCAGTACTACAAGTCCCAGCAATCCTTATTCCACCCACTGGAACTTGCCAGTTGTACTTCAAGTTCCAGCATCCCTAATCCCAGCCAGTGGATCCTGCCAGTTGTACTACATATCCCAGCATCCCTAATCCCAGCCAGTGGATCCTGCCAGTTGTACTACATATCCCAGCATCCCTAATCCCAGCCAGTGGATCCTGCCAGTTGTACTACATATCCCAGCATCCCTAATCCCAGCCAGTGGATCCTGCCAGTTGTACTACAAGTCCCAACATCCCTAATCCCAGCCAGTGGGTCCTGCCAGTTGTACTACAAGTCCCAACATCCCTAATCCAAGCCAGTGGATCCTGCCAGTTGTACTACAAGTCCCAGCATGCTCTGGCAGCCAGGCCTAAATCTATATTGCTGTACCCCCATCACTGTGACACATTTTACTACACATCCCAAACCAACAAGCGTCAAAGTATCCGGCTCTGGATGGCAGCCCTGGAGCCGACACAACATGGCAGCCACGTGTGTTTATGCAGCTGCAGGTTGCGGAGTCGCTTGGCAGAGCTCCACCCCCAACCACAACGACCTGAATAGAACGCGTTCTGTACTCGCGGCTGTTTTTCTTCCTTACTCAGCTGCAGCTGCCCATTAGCTGCCAGGAAATCGTTCCTTCTCCGGTTTTCCTCATTATTGAATTGAAACTCCGGCTAATAATTTCCAGGTGGGCCTCATTAGCTGATACCAGATTAAAGGGGGAGGAGAGGGGGGCTGTCCTGCCCTATAGGTGTGGAGGTCCCTTTAATGATGCTGGTGGGGGAAGCGGTGTTTGCTGACGTCCCCTAATGATCACATTTATATTGATCCCCCGTGTCTGACTTTTCTCCTAATACCTGATAACTTCACCCCCCCCCCCCCCCCCCCCCCCCCCCCATCCTCCGTTCTGTGATGTTAG